CTGTGCTTATTTCTATGACTGTTTTTATTTTTTAATATTTTAAATGTCTGCAGAACTTTATCAGCTATCTTTCCAGTTCAGCCTTCAGTCTTTACAAGTAGACCTGTTACCTTTTTTCTGATTTATTAAGATTTATTTCTATAAATGATTATGAAACGTAGAAATTCTAGTTTTCTTACTTAAATGATTTTGTTCTCTATTTTTAAAGCAAAGACAAGCTGAATTAGAAGCTGCTCGATTGGCTAAGGAGAAAGAAGAGGAAGAAGTTAGACAGCAAGCACTATTGGCCAAGAAGGAAAAAGATATCCAGAAAAAAGCCATTAAGAAGGAAAGGCAAAAGCTTCGAAACTCATGCAAGGTATGTGGGGCTCCCTGAGCAAACAGTAAGTACAGAGTAAACTAGGCTATTGATTAAGCTGGAAATGTCTGTTTTTATACTTTGCAAATACAATCAAATGGGTGATGGGTTTTATCTTGAAATATAAATTTTTTACATTTTGCATGTGCTATTTCATTGTACCACCCTAATAACTTCTTAAAAGATCATGGTGTCACTATCAAAGCAGAGTTAATATTCTGATACTTTTTTTTTTGCCTTTTTGAGACAGGGTCTCGCTATGCAATTCAGGCTGGCCTTGAGCTCCCCTTGTCGCCCAGTCTGGCCTAGAACTCGCAATGATCCTCCTGTCTCCGCCTCCCAAGTGCTGGGATTACAGGTGTGCATGACCATGCTCTGCCACCTTCTCTGTATTTAGATCTCTTTGATTTATAGCATCTATGTCTTTTCATAGTTGATTTAAATAAGTTAGGTTCCAAGTAAGGTTAATACAAAGGCTTAGGTGTGGCTTTTTTAAGATCCTCTGATTGTGTAGCATGCCTTCTCCCGTCACTACTTTCCCATCCTCCTTGGCATCTATTGGAAAAACCAGAGCATGTTTCTGAGAATCTGTTGAGCTGATTGCTTCTATTGGTATGAACACATTTTTGTCTTAGGAAAAGATACTTTAGAAGTTTAACTTTCACTTTAATCTGAACAAAGATAGACATCATTTGGGTGACAGTGGGGAGTTTTCACTCAAATACAAACTTTTGTAAAAAGCTGAACCGAAAAACCACAAAAATTTGTGTATTTATTTATTTACAACTCTGTATTTATTTAACTCTGGGGGTTAGGCTGGCGTGGCATATGGTGCCAGGGATCGAACCGCTGTCCCTGCATGCTTGCCTAAGCAGGAGCTTTAGACTGCTGAGCTATCTCGCCAGTCCCCCAAAAGTTCTTAATGTAATTTTGTCCAAGCGTTCTTATGTCTTAAACTGATAAAGTCAAAGGGCAGTAGTTGTCCTTATTAACAGAATGAATGAATAAATTCACATAATTCTAACTTGTAATGAAGATTGCTGCAAGAGCATGTTGAGCTGCATATCACTGTAGTTAAATTCAGAAACTACGTAAATGCTTGATATATAAAAATGTTACTTTTCGCGACTGTCCGGAAGGCTTCAGACTTGCACATATCTAATGTATGCTAACCTAAAGCTTCATTTAGTAACACATGTGAAATAAACTAGCCCCACAGCATGCTTTGAAATAGGTTTAATTAAAAACTAAACAGATAGCTAGAAGTACTTGAGCAGGTCTGCTGGCACATTCCTGTAATCCCAGCTCTTGGGGAGGCTGAGGCAGGAGGATAACAACTTTGAGGTCAGTCTAGGCAACTTAACAAGACACTGTCTTAGGGGGAAAAAAAAGATCTGGGAAGGTAGCTTGATGCGAAGGGCCTGGGTTTATTAATCCCCAGGAGTGGAGGTGGTCACCTCTGGTCAGAGCCTCGCAGTGTTGGTGCTGGCCTTGCAGGTATTGCTGGCATCCATAGGTGTAAGGTGGAAATGTGTGCCTTTGTGTTTCTAGGCCTGGAACCACTTCTCAGACAATGAGGCAGAACGGGTGAGAATGATGGAAGAAGTGGAGAAACTCTGTGACCGGCTTGAACTAGCAAGGTGTGTGCTACATGTGGAGTTGCCATACAAGCCCTCTCTTGGGCCCGGTCCGGTTGCAGCTTTCCCCATGGTAGGGAGACGCCTGGGCTCCGTGCCTGATGTGCTGGGCCCTAGGGCAGTAGCCCAGTCTTCATCCCCATTTCTTTAGTTTGCAGTGCTTGAACGAAACACTTACATCATCCACAAGAGAAGGTGGAAGAGCTGCACTGGAGAAGCAGGTAACAGAGAAGACAAGGTTACTATTTTACCTCACTGTTGGTCTTAGTCACTGTGCTCCTTGCTGGGACAAAACATCTGACGTGTAAAACTTAGGAGAGGAGGGGCAAATTGGGCTCCCGGTTACAGGTGACGTGGCAGTTGGTGCCAGAGAAGGTGCTTAACCCTTGGCAGTCGGGGCAGAGAGAAGTGGGCACTGAGGGCAGTAACACAGCCTTCCAGGTCCTGCCCAACCCCTCCTGGCAGACTGCGCCTTCTAACAGCACATGTGGCTGCTGCACTCAGCCACGGGTGCATCCCGAGTGGCACCAGCCCACGGTCCGAAAGCCCCCTCAGCACATGAGGTTTGTGGGCGACCTTTGCAATTGAAACTGTTTCTGCAGCTGACAACATAGTTCACTCAGGGCCAGGAGTGTCTAATCCCTTTTTGTGTGTGCTGTTTGTATTAAATGTTTTTTTTAAAAAATTGATTTAGTGTGGTGGTGTTTTGTTTTACTGTATGATTTGTGGTACCTGGCACAATCATCAGAAGTTTTCCATAATAGCTGTTTTGATTATTCAGAGTATTTCTATAGGGTAACGTTTGGAGCCAAAGAGATCTTTGTCTAGTCTGGTCCCTTTGTTTCACAGTTGAGGGAATCAGGCCCAGAAGTTGAATTCAGTTCAAGTATGAGTAACTAATGCAAATAACACTGGGTCTGGGGAGTAGGAGAAGCCTAATGCTATCGCTGCCATAGAGGAGTCCAGGAGAAGTTATGCTAGAGAGCAAGGCAGAGGACCAAAGACGGAGCACCTACAGGAAGTGCTGTGGGAGGCCAGGCCACACTGATGATTAAGGAAAGCAGTGACAGGCTGGCCTGGCCTGCTGGGGAAGACGGGTACGACGCAGGCCAAGAAGCAGCATGAACTGGAAGACAGCGGTAGGAGAGGAAGGCTATGGAGAGGAGGAGTGGAAAGTGGAATTGGCTAGGAAGGGGAGGTCCTAATTAAGCAGGATTTTAGTGCCGTCCTGATCAGTTCTGATACCAGGAGGTTCAGCACTGTGCAAGTAGCAGGCTTTGGTGAGCTGCATAGTACTGAGTTACAGTAATCCCACTCTAATAATCTAGACAGTGAAAATTTAGAATCAGGAAAAACTTTTGGTGACAGGTTTCACTTAGTTAAGGCTGGCCATGAATCCATGATAAAGCTCCTGCCTCAGCTTCCTAAGAGCTGGGATTACAGGTGCGCGCCACCACATCGAGCTAAAACTTGGCTGGGGCTGGCTCTGAGGGATTGAAGAGGAGAAACTAGTCAAAAGTAACTCCCAGACACCAGCTGACAGAAGCCTCCAGGTTCCAGTAAAGGTTTCCCTTGTGCGTACTGGAGGGTCGACCAAAAGGAACAAGATAACGGTTAGACTTGAAGGTAAAATGGACCTCCCTCCCTTACTTTCTTATAGAGAACAAGTTAGATCATCTGCCAAGAGTGAATGAGTTGAAAGGTACTAAAGGGCCTTGCTTGTGAAAACCCAGTGACCCTGTCCCTGCCAGCTACAGACTCAAGGATGCAGCAGACAGGGTGTGGCTCCTGCTGCCCCTTGAGGTGGCCTGGGGAACACAGGGTCAGAGTGGGCCCCTACATGGAGAGTTGGGGAGCAAGAACCCTGGCAGAGAGTAGAGTAGCAGGAAGCTGTGAGTCCTGACTTGCTTGTCGTATCTGTGTAGATAGAAGAAATAAATGAGCAAATTAGAAAAGAGAAAGAGGAAGCCGAAGCTCGCATGCGACAAGCATCTAAGAACGCAGAGAAGTCAACTGGCGGTGGTGGAAGTAGCAGTAAAAATTGGTCAGAAGATGATCTGCAGTTACTAATTAAAGCTGTGAATCTCTTCCCTGCTGGAACAAATTCAAGGTACTGGTTTTCATGGAAACTTTTCAAAACAGCGAAGCCTGGACGCAAAAATGCAAATCGCAGCACTAGTTATTGAGAATCTTAGATAAACTTGAATCTAGAAAAGCTGTTTGTCACTAAATTCAGGATGTTGGCAGAAAGGGTGAAGAGCACATTGCATTCTGAGCGTCTCATCTCACCCATTAGTTTCCCTTTCACAACTCAAAATGAAGCTTTAGAGTCAGCCTCCATTCTGTAGGTGAAGTCATAAGGGTGGTTTTCCAAATGATCTCTCCTAAGATACATGTATAGGGTGGGCAGTATACACAAGTGTTCAACTTGATTTCTGTTGGCTTCTACAGAGTTGTTAGTTCCATATAAACAAAACCAAGATTGTAGTTATTTAAACATGAGCTGTTATCTAGCAATAATAATGTACTCTAAAGGCATAAATAGGCAAATTTAAAGCTCATTCTCTAGATATAACCCTTCTGTAGTAAAAATGTACTGTTTCTTTCCTTACTGTTAAACTCACACTGTCACTCTAGATGGGAAGTGATTGCTAACTACATGAACATACATTCTTCTTCTGATGTCAAAAGAACAGCCAAAGATGTTATTGGCAAAGCAAAGAGTCTCCAGAAGCTTGGTGAGCTACTTCTAAAAAGTCATTTTACTACTTTGGATACATATTTTTCACATAAATTCATGCATTTAATGAAGGACTAAGCAAGATAATGTTAAATATATTAAAACTTTTGTTTCTCAGACCCTCATCAAAAAGATGACATAAACAGAAAGGCTTTTGATAAATTTAGAAAAGAACATGGAGTGGTACCACAAGCAGATAATGCAACACCATCAGAACGATTTGAAGGTAGGTTTTGTTTTTCTACAAGTAGAAAACACTGACCAAGACTCTGGGCTACTTGAAGACAGAGCAGACCTGCTGGGGTATACGTTCAGAAAGACTGGACAATACACTGCTTAGCAGACTAGAAGATGTAGAGAAACACATCTGGGAAAGCGAGAGATTTATTTCTGCCAGCCCTTGGGGTTCTTCCAGGCACACAACTTGGAGAGGGTGCACTTGTCCACCATGTACTGCAAGTCAGTGTTAAGGGTACTGCTGGGACAATGAGGAAGTAATAGCAGTTTATCAGTTAATTTCCTGGTTTTAATAAATGTACTCTAGTTGTCAGAAAATTTCCTGGTCTTTAAGGAAAACACTGATTTAGGAGAAAAGGTACCATGTCTACAACTCAGCCTCTGAGGACCATGTATGTATATGAAAATTAGCAAATGTGGTACAGTGCTTTCACATTCCACGCAGACTACACAGCGAGTCTTTCTACTCTTCACAAGTATTTCAGAGTAAGGATGGAAACTATTAAAGTGCTGTCAGTCTTAGGTATTCCAGCTAACAAGAGTACTCTGGATCTGGTATTTTTCTGACTACAAATTAGGCCCTTCATTGAGTCATGAAATATATTTAGTAGATTGTGAAAAGAAAATATTCGCCAGCATTAACATCTGTAACAACTTTTTACTTGCGAAATTTTGTTGATGTATGGATGTAATAAGATTTTTAAACTGACAGAAATATTTTGAAGTTTGCTTTCTGATGTTTCACTTTATTCATTTTTGAAATATCAGTCTTTCTTTAATCTTGGATGTTTTCCAGGTCATAATGAGAAGGATTTTTTTGGGGGGAGGCTGGCTCATGCTGCCTTAAGGGTATGTCTGGTAAGGCATGGAGAGCTGGGGATCAAACTGTGGTTCCCTGTACCTATCTGGGTTTGTCCCAGCTGGTGCTTAAACAAATGAGCTGCCCCCTCCAGGTCATAATTCCAGACACATTTTTATGGTTTGGTTGTTTTTTTGTTTTTTTTTTTTTTGAAAACCGGGATTGAACTCAGGCTCTTACACTTGCCAGGGAAGTGCTTATTCCACTGAGCCATCTCCCCGGCTCCTCCAGACACATTTTTAGATTGAGACTTGATTACATGATAAACTACAGCAGGTCCCAGTGTTACCTATAATCTGGTTTATTATTCCCAGTTTGAAAATATAGGACTTACTACCATGTTTTGTAGAGAGAGGGAAGAAATCATGCTATGCTTATAAAAATCTGAGGTACCCTTTTTGTGGTAGGCATGATGTGGGTTTTAAGGAAGTAACAAGAAGTGCAGGTTTCAGAACACCTACAGGGGACTTCAGGAGTGGTTCTTTGTATCTTCCACAAGGTACCACACAGCATTTGTAGAATACTCTGCGCCCTTACAGAAGCGACTGGCAGTGATGCTGCCTGTGTCCGACTTTACCTTGCTGATGGATACTGGGAAGTCTCCTCTTTCAGCCACCCCATTAAAGAGCAAGGTGCCCTCACCCTTTTTTTTTCTTTCCATGTTACTCACCTCAAACCCAGAGCCTGTGCAGCCAGGCACCTACGTTACTGCAGAGCTGGGGCTCCCAGCCCTGGCATTACTCAGGAGTGATTTCTCACAGGAATTCTGGCACAGTATGCTTCACTTCATTTTCTGAACTAGAGAACAGCAGAGAGTAAATTCACATCCCTAAACTTAATAGCATATTAAGGAGACCCTCAAACCAATAAAAGAAATCGGGCTAAGAACTTGATAGAACTGCAAAGCTGCCTTCAAAAAAGCTTCTAATTTGCCATTAAATACACAGATACGAGTTCTGGGTACACATTTTCGATTGGGAAGTAACTTGTATTTCTACTCTTTGTGTTCAGTCTCACAAAATATAATTTTAAACAGATGTCTGGTGTTTGCATAGGTGCTATTGCCTTTAATATTGTCATCATTGGAGAAATAGGCTAAATACCTAAGGTCTTTAAGTAATGTGTATTTGTCACACATTTTGTAAACTATGACAGGTTCAGTTTAGTGACTTACTTTCCTTGGCCCCGAGACAATACCCAACACCCACAGGTTAAAGGAGAAAAGGTTTATTTCGGCTCACAGTTGGTAGATGTTTCAGTCCACAGTGGACTGGCTCCAAAGCAGGGTGGTGTGGCAGAGGGGCTTCGCAGAGGAAGAACAGTCTGCAGTCTCAGGCAAGCAGACAGGCAAGAGAGCACAGCAGCCCTCTTCCTGTTCCATACACGGTATGCAGGCTGTCGGCCCTAGCACTCACACCCCCGGCCAGCACTGTGCCAAAACCATTCAGTGGTTGAGTCACTGTGACACAGCCTAGACTGAGCCATCTATAAAGCCACCCCTATGGCTGCATGAGGTTTTGGAGGACATCTAGACACAAGTGGTGAGGAACTGCACTGCCAGTAGAGATGTTAGCATTGTCTCCACAAGAATATGAAATGCTAACGTTAAGCTTGCTTATATAGTACTGAATCCTTGTGTGCTTGGCTTGATTTTGGTAGGTGTGTTTCCCCCAGTATAAAATAAGAATTTTCCAGGAGCTGTCCAACAAATTAACAAAGGGCTGATGAGTATATGATAGGCGTCAAGAGACTAGTAATGCGGCAGATGCTTTCTGCGTTTCAGGTCCATGCACAGATTTCACTCCATGGACAACAGAAGAACAGAAGCTTTTGGAACAAGCATTGAAAACATACCCTGTGAACACACCTGAGAGATGGGAAAAAATTGCAGAAGCGGTTCCTGGCAGGACAAAGAAAGACTGCATGAAACGCTATAAGGTGGTAGATTTTTAGTTTATCAGTTTCATTACTGGTCTCACTGTAACTTGTGATATAGTTTGTATTTTGGTTGTTATCTGTTACTTGGATAGGAAAAGGTATCATCATGGATATTTCGCTGCCACAGTAGTCCTAGGGCCAAAGACATTACAAAATGACCAACCTTAGAAACTTTACAAATGTTTATATTGGATGTGTCTTTTTAAAGTGACAGCTCTTAAGTTACACCTTTCTCTCCCTAGGAACTTGTTGAGATGGTAAAAGCAAAGAAAGCTGCTCAAGAGCAAGTGCTGAATGCAAGTAGAGCCAGGAAATGATGTAACGACAATCCCCGTTGTGTGCATTTTTATAATAAAACTGAAAACACTGTATAAAATTTTTATTTCTAAAATTATATTTATGGTAATAATTTGAATGTGTGCTGCTTCTAATACAATTTCTAAGAGCGCTAAGATTGATGTTATACAAAACCATCAAGGTTGTAATCTTAAAAGGTGGTAATCTCAAAAATTTGCCAACACATTACACTTGTTTTTTGCTTTAGGGATTTTTTAAATACTTAAACTGTTTGTTAGAGGGTCTCACTAAGCAGATCAGACTTGTAGTGATCCTCGTATCTCAGTCTCCCCAGCATTGGGATTACAGGTTTGCACCACCACACTAGGTTTCAGTGCTGATAGCATGCTTGTGGTTTGATCAGCACAGCATGTTGTACCAGGGCTTGAACTCAGGTCCTTGCACTTGCCAGGTAGATGTTTAGACAGCTGAGTTATCTCCCCAGCCCCTTCATTAGGGATTTTGATTACAAGGATCTTAACCACGAATCCAGCACATGTTACTGCGAATCTGGTTAAAATCTGGTAGTTGTTCAATAGGACCTGTGGATTAAAGAGAAGGTATTTAAAACTGAATCAAAAGGACATGGGCACCTTTCTGGACAGGACTGAAGGAGCCAGGCTTACCAACAGCAGCAAGAGCTGGACTTTTCTCATAGATATACTTGGTGCAGACTTCTCGAAGTGTCTCAGCATTCACAGCCTAAAGCAAAGAAGGTACAAGCATTCTGAGCTTTTGGTAATAAAGAAAGATTCTATACCTGGGACTTTTAAAAACCCAATCAAGATTTAGGGTAACATATTTTCAGCCTTTGTAATAATGAACTTTTTATACGAGATCCAACTGTATCCTAAAACTACTTACATCCTAAAACTACTTACATCAATTCTTGCTTCAAGCTCAGGGATGGGAATTCGCCTATTGTAGCATAACATCTGCCTCCCAATATCTTCACAGATTGGTGTAGAACCTGTTTAAAAAGAAGGAAAACCTAAGTTCTAAA